GTGAACAGTCTGGTCTCTTTCCTCACACTGTCTTTCTTCATGTCCCTGTTTCACTAGTTTTACATGTTTGAATGATTCCCTCATTTCAGATTCTCCATGTCTTCCTCCATCTAGAAATACAGAGGGAAGAAGTAATTACATGTAAAAAAGATGTTTTCAGACTTTGATTATTGATTAATCATACAACATATTCTGTTGTTTTTCAGCTGTGCATCCTGTCCCTGCTGCACATGAGACATCGTTTCTATCATTGCCCTCAGCAGTTATGGAGGAGAGGTCTGTACATAGGGACCACTCGCTGCCTCTCTACTGGACCACATTCACCTCCTCCTCCTCCTCCCACGCTGACTGACTCCCCTGAGTGCACTGAACCAGAACCCAGCCGCAGTACCTCTGCTTGGTCTCCTGACCAGGGTCCACCGCCTGCTCCCACGTATTGCTGCATGAGTGGCTGTCACAACTGTGTGTGGATCGAACATGCGGAGCAGCTGTTGGAGTATTACCACGACGGAGGCGACCGGGCGCTCGCCGCTGTTGAGGAGAACGTCCTCGACGAGAACCTTAAAACCTACTTAAAGATGGAGATTAGACTGTTGAAAAAGACATGACTGATGTATTTACTGCCAGTGGCCTCGAGTGTAAGCACTTTATAACACACTCCACATTTTCACCTCCATCTCCTTTGGTTGTATATTTCATATCTGCAGAACATTTCAGAAAATCAACACGAGCTTCTCTTATGATGGAAGCTTTGCCCATGATTCCTATCAGTATGATTATCTGACTGATCCTGGTTCTTGACCAGTTAGACCTCTTTTCAGTGATGTCAGATCTCAGCAATTAACTTCCTGAGTACAACATGATTATTACTAAAAAGCGGGCAGACGATGCTGGAACTCTGGAGCTCCGGAGCTCCTTTCACTCCTGTGAAGTCACTGTTTCAACACAGTGTTGGAGTTTGTATCTAACGAAGAATACCATGTGATAGGTGACATTTGAAGCTTCAGAAAGAGCTTCATTCAGTTTTTCAGTTTGGAAAGTTTTGTGATCTAATGTGATGGACATTAGTGTGATAAGAGAAGGAGAATAATTAAGAAACATGGTGATGCACACAGTGATACTGAGGCTGAACTACACCAATAAGTTATTATTTATATATATTTAATATATAGAGAGATTTTGTGTCAACAGAAGTATTTTATATTTAGGCTTTGTGGAAATTTATTATTAATTATTTTATTGTAGCATATTGCCTCAAAACAAAAGTACAAAAGTATTAAAGATTTGACCCATTAATGTCCACAGTGGAATTTTATGATTTCCTAGGAGGATGTAGGGCAGGTCGTCCACTAATCAGAAGCTCAGTGGTTCAATCCCTGGCTCCTCTATTCCACATGTCGATGTGTTCTTGGGCCTAAGGTGTGTGAGTGTGCGTGAAAGTAAAGCGCTGTGTGAATGGGTGAAAGTGGCTTGTAGTGTAAAGTGCTTTGAGTGGTCGATAAGACTGGAGTCTTGAGGAGCCACTGTAGGTTTTGTGAAGGATCTGCTTTGTTTGAAGCTTTGAAACTTTTTTTTCTGCACAAATAGAAACAGAGCTTCAAAGCTTTATAAGACTACAATCACCCATCATTTATTATGAGTGATATGAACAATGCCAAAAAAAATCCCTAAATTTCATCCTAAAATGTTACCATCAAACTCAACCTGTCCCACTCCAGGAATGAATGAGTTAGTCTTTGTTTTAGGTCATAAGGAGCATGGAGTGTTTGTTCCTGAAAGTGTGGCGTTAGTACAGTATGTGTGATTTAGAATTAACATATCAGCTCATGTCATTAGAAAAAATTCACTTAACTCATCGGTGTAATTCACTGTTTCACTGTCATGTTCCTTTATTCATGAAGCACATTTGCAAAGATCTGTGATTTATCAGTTGAAGTTTGAACTGATATGTTAAAAGTATATTTTGTAAGTGTTTGCAGATCATTTGCTTCGTTATATTTAAAGCATATTTAAATTATGTATTTTAAAATTATTTTCAGGATGTGTTTGTTAAATAAATTTTCTTTCAAAGAGCTGTTCTGAGATCTGTTTTCTTTGGCATCACGTCAGCACCAGGAAAAGCCACTAGGGAGCGCCACATACACATAAAACCATACGTCCACTCTCATTAGGATGAAATATTTTGACTTATCTTCTTAACCTGATCATTTCATCATCATGTGGATTCATCCAACAAGAACAAACAGCTCCATTTCATGATCTCAGACTTTATCTACTTTAATTATAATATAGGAGTTTTCAGATAGTTTTCACTTGAATAAAAACAAGTAAAGAAGAAGAAGGTTGCCTTTTAAGAGATCAATCAAAGGTTGCACTACTTAAATTATATTTAAACAAGTTAACAATTGACTATCTAAATGTAAATTTTGGCATTTTAAATGTATAATATAAAAAGTTTCAATTGAACTAAATAAGATTTGTATGCATGAAGGAGGATTCTTCAGGTGGATCATGTCACAGACGGAGCATGTTCAGTCCTGCCATGTTAGAATGACGTCTTTCAGTCAGCTGGGTCTCAGCAGGTGAACACAGTCTGCTCCTTGTTCATCTCACAATCTCGCAGGAACAGGTTCTGAGGTGACGCTGACCCTGATCTCCCCGACTGAGTCAGCACTAGTCTGGAATAGTGACACTGTATAAATCCTGATTACACAGGAGCCAGTGGGCAGCTCCTGTACACGCTCTGCCAGCCGCACAGCACTCACCTCTTCTTTGATCTGGGTTACACAGCGGATTACAAACGAGGCGTTTCACTCATCATACACAGAGCAGTGACTGTGACGTGATGGAAACAAACTCAAGGCAGATTACTGCCCATACCACCACTGCAATGTGTCACTTTGCATCATGCCAGTGTGTAATATTCTGCCAACCTGAGGCTGCACCTGATCACATGAGTAAACTGTAGATACAGGGTCATTTCAGTTCTGCGGGTCACTGAGATGACTGGAATTGAACCTTTATAAATAACTGTACTGTACTATACTCAGTGACATTTAGTTAATAATACACCCAAAATTCAATCTAATATTAAACTAAAGATTTTGATTTCTTGTGCATATTGTATCAGATAATGTGGTGTGTGTCATACGAGTGAGAACATTCACTCACTAATGCACAGAGAGCTGGGAGAGCCCTCCTGCTGAGAGCTTAGGGGTCATCAGGAGCAGCTGGAAGGACACGCCCTCAAGGCAAGAGATGACAAACCGTGAGCCCCACAAGCTGCACGCCCCCCACCCCCCCCCCCCCCCCCCTTCAAAAAAAAGAAAGAAACTGGGACAAATCAATTTTAATATGACTGAGCAAGGACAGTTCATAACAACTTAAAATTCTCTAAAGAATAAAGAATAAATTCTCTAACACCTAAGAATTCAATAATGTTTTATGTTCTTGAGCTTTTTATTATATCACATGATATTCATCAGAAGCAGTCAAAATGCTACTAAATGGACCTGGTGGTGAGATTATTTTGTCAACTTCTGTTTCCAACATCAGAAGTGAACTTTAAATCTCTATGAATAGCAAACCCTTTAATTCTGTTTGTCTGATATGATTTGTCCATATAACATTAAATCTTCTCTATTCTACATTATAATTACATCCACTCATTCTCACCTGTTGAAAAATCCAGAATCTACGAAAATTAAAATATTTAAAACGTCACTGTCAGACTGAAAATGTCTCTGACTTTTTTGAACTGTCAAATTTCAGTTGACTTTAAGTTTCCACATCACACTTGTGTAAGTTGCATATTCAACCGATGGAGTATGTTGCAATACTCCAATGTTGCAATGTTGTACGTTGTACACATGATCGTGAACATACATCGTTCTGCAGTGTGAAACTCAAACACCAAAAGTGAAGGAACATAAAGGAAAGAGATTGGGGATCAAGATCATGAGATATGATCAAAAGCTCTGGTGACGTGGGTTTTAATCAGACAAAGAGGGTCTAATGACAGATGCTGTCGAGCTGGGGATCAGAATGTATGGATTTTGTTTTTGTTTGGTTTTTTATTTGTTTGGTTTGTTTTTTTTGGGAGGGGGGGTAATGACCCATTCAAACGGGATATTTCAGTTTTTGCTACATTAATTTTCACCATACTTTTTAAAAAATTTATCTGTCTCTTGTAAGTCCGAGTTTTAAATCCAAATGGATTAATCAATAGGAAGTCCTGATTGGCTGTGTAGTGATTGATTTCTGGAGTGTGGGATGTGATTTTATATCACAGGTGTGGGATTATTCTCTTGTCTGTTAAACGGAGAGCACTCTCACCGCAGGTAATTACACTGAAACACACATTAGGTTGATCTAAGAGACTTCTGCAGGTGGAGGATTTGAAGGTTTTGTCTGAAGCAGATGGTGAGACGATTGCATAACAGAGAGGGAGTGGGCTGGTAGGCCTTTCAGGAAGCGTCCTGCTGCATCCATAATCTATATCAACAGGCTGTATTATCTCATGTATCCAGTATCCAGTGATCTGATTAGCTTTGCTTGGTGTTTTCTTGAGTGTTCTGGAGATGCGTGTCACAGTAGGCCTCCATCATGCTGAGGGAAAACAAAGTGAACAACATCAAAATGAATAGTTTACATCCTTGGTTTCATCACAGATACTGGATAAAGTGCAAAAAGTCATTGTATATAAATTATTTGTATTAATTCTAATACTTTTCAAATCATCAACCAGAATCTAAAACCAACACTTAAACTGAAAACTGACATCACACATTTAAAATGATCAACGCTGCATGATGACTCAGTGAACATCGCATCATCACAAAGATAAAATTTTGGACGTTCACACACTTTCACCTTCTTTGACCAAAACCCCGAAACATGTGGAGTGTTGACATTAGAGCAGGAGGCGGCGCGCTCATAATCTTCTGCAGGGCTCAGCATATAAGAGGGGCCCTAAGCCCCGAGTGGCCCTCACAGCGAGCCTAGCATAGAACTCCAACTCATTTGCTAGACAGACCTGTGCTGCACTTGCACCCACTCGTCTGGCTGTCCTTCACCCAAGCAGCCGGTGAGTAGACCGCCACACCGCACCACCACCACCACCACCACCACCACCACCATCACTATGACTGACATATTTGGGATTTATCATTTATCACCATTTGGGACTATTCTGGAGCTGCATGGAAGTCAATGGATATTATGAATATTTCCATTATCACCTCTTGAGCTGCAGAAATGATCTGACTGAAAAGATGGAAATCAATGCAGAATCAAGTAAAGGTAACAACAGATGGAACTCTCTTGAAAATGTGATTCAGATCTCAAGAGAAGATTAAAAAAAAAATAGATAATTAGGCCTTAGAACATTTTTTGTTCCTTTTTAAATTTTAGCTGATCATAATGTGATTCCACATATGAAAATAAGTCACTGCTTGATGACTTGTGTTGTGTCTTGTGATTTATTACAATACAACAGATTGTTTTACAACATTGACTTCCATCAGGCTTTGAACGATAGTGCAGTGATGACAGATACAATGTGGACCAGTCAGGAAATAAGGAATTTATTCTTTAACAACAACAACAACAACAATATAATGGATAAGTCTGTTTTAAGTTTGGAAAATGTCTACAGTGTGAACATAATCAGTACCATACAGATCTGACAACAGTGCAACTATCCGTTGTACCTCAGTGGAACATTTTTCAGTCAGGTGTTCTGATGCTGTTCTCACCTGATGTCAGTTGTTTGGTTCTCTTAGTGATTTGAGCTGGCTGTTGTTTATTGTACAGAGTGTTGGTGCTGATGTAAACAGATTCGTAACACTAAAGCTTTTAACATATTTCAAGAGTGACTGAGTGGATGCAGCATCACCTGCAAACAGGTAAAATGGACAGTGGAGTGGAGAGACCAATCATATTTTGATATAAAGCCACCATACATTCTATATGTAGAGTATGACCAAAGTTTATTAGGCTGTGATGGCCACATTCTTCATGTTCATGCTGTGATCAGAGAAATACTGTATGACCACCTCGTTGTTAAGACCTGTTCAGCTCAATCACTGTCTCTGGGACACGGTGAGCGGATTGATCATTTAGACCCTCAGTGCACTCTCAGCATATCTGCCTTGCTGTCCTTGCTCTAACAAGATTACGTGTGGACGGCCGGCTTGAAACAGAGAGAGGAGGGGAGTACTTATTAACTTGAGCCTGGGATTATGGGAAATTGGGTCATCCTCACAGAACAGGCTACAAGGTAGTCCACCTCAGACATTCAATCACTGGGAAATATGAGTGTAAATCCTGGCTGGTGCTCGTCAGATCAGTGAGAGGATTAAGGCCTGTAATGTCAGACAGAGGTGACAGAGGCTGTACGCAACTTTTACATGAAATTGATGGTTAAATAGCGGATTTTAGAAAACACCTTGCTGCACATAAATGGGATTTACAGAGAAAAACTGGGAGGAAATGGCCCTTTACCTCCATCTTTTCATGTGATACATTGGTCTGGATGAATTCCCAGACTTTTTTCTTTCTCTTTCCCTGAAAATAAAGGTTATCACCACCACGACTACACTTCAGAGAGGTGTCTCTGAACCATAACTGCGCACAATGAATCTCGAGCCGCCCAAAACCGAGATCAAGTCGGCCACCCGTGTCACCGGGGGCCCCGCCACTCCACGCAAGGGGCCCCCCAAGTTCAAGCAGAGGCAGACCCGTCAGTTCAAGAGCAAGCCTCCAAAGAAGGGAATCCAGGGGTATGCCTTAAATAATTTACACGTTTTCATTAGAGGTTGAGAAATAATAATAAGTTATCGTGTGTAATCCATTTTTTCTTTGCAGCTTTGGTGACGATATCCCTGGAATGGAGGGCTTAGGCACAGGTGAGTTCACCTCAGATCTTAAAATGCAACCTAATATCAGTTTCTGTGATCTGCAGGGGCCTGAACGACCTCACATCTCCGTCTTCTCTTGCAGACATCACTGTCATTTGCCCCTGGGAGGCCTTCAATCACCTGGAGCTGCATGAGCTGGCCCAGTACGGCATCATCTGAGCCTTCGTGCACCTCCCTGCAATCCCCTGAGGATTACAGGCCACATCCATGCACTTCAAGCCATCTGCCTCAGGCTCCGTCTCCTCTCTTTACATGGAACTATTCCAAACAACAAACTACCACAATGAACTGTAACAAACACAAAAAATGGAAAAAGAGAAAAAAAAATCCAAAAAAAAAAAAAAACAACTTTCTGTCTTCTTACACTGGATTATTCTTCTGATTCTGCAGTTCTCACACAGCATCTACTCATGTTTAGGATCTGTTGTTTTGATTCTCATGATGTCACTAGATCTGCACTGTCACTCTAAAATCCTTCCCAGCATCCTCTTCTCTTCTCTCGCTATCCTCCTTTTCTTCTCCTTTCCTATTCTTTTCTATTCTTCTCACGGACAAAACATGAAACTTACGCAAGCAAGGCAGCCTCAAATTGAGTTTAAGTGACAGACCCGTGAAGTTTCGGGGGTGGGCTCCCGCTTCACGTGCCTCGGCGCCTCTTTCTCCACCTCAGAGGCTTCATCCATCAACGCCGAACATTTAACATACAAAAAAAAAAAACAACCTTGTATTCTGTAGAGACCAGACACCAGCTTGCCATTGCTGAGCGTAACTTTTCAGTGGGATAATGTTAATCATCCATCATCAGATTTCCCTCTTCTCCCTCTGTTTTGATGATTTCCACCAGGATACATTAATGTTCTTCACCTTTTCGTTCATTTATTTTCCTCTATAATTTCTACCATCATAACATGTGAAAGTCTGCTAGTGTTTGATACATGTGAGTCAGTACTTTCAGGGAAAAAAGGCTAGAAAAACATGACCTCTGGAAGGGCAGTAGTGTGTGTTGCTCTTCATTTGATCACACTAACAACCCATCTTAGCCCATATCTTCCATGGGTTTACTTGTGTTAACATTAGTGTCATATCTCCTCTATTTGTATATCTCCCTTGTATAATATCAATGTATATGAAAATATGTTTATTACATGTTTATTTCTCATTCTCATACATGACACTGTGCTGCCCTGTGTGTTTCTGTTTGTGTTTTATTTTAGCATCATCCATTAGAATAGAACATTTTACATCTTATCCTCATCGTCCTTTATCTTTCATCATCATTCAGTATTACATTTATGTCCTTTTCATCGTCATCATCATCATCAAAATCATTATCATCATCATCATCATCATTGAGCCTTCATCGTGTTCATGTTTAGACAGTTGTCTGTTGTAAACTTAAGATCAATACATTCACGCTTCAAGTTGCATTCAGCCTCTGAACTTGTGATATCATTTCTGTGATCCTGACTTTAGCTCTGAGATTTCTTCTAATCTAATTGAATAACAAGGACATTGGTCATTTTGCCCTGATGATAAAAGCCTTTTCTTCACATGATGTCTCCAACGATTGCACTGTAGTAGCGAAAGATGGCAGAGGGATGAGTGGAATGGATGTTTAAGTACAGACCAGAAGAGATGTGTAATGGAGCTTTGTCCTCTCTACAGGATGAGGAAAATAATAATAATAGCAATAATAATAAAGCATAAAAAGAGAAAAATAGAAACGGTGGATTATTCATTTATCAAACCATTCCTCAGAGTGGGAGTGAGTCATCTGATAGTGAGTTTAGGCTTCAAGTTAAAACAAATGCACACATACATACATGTGCATACCTATACACACATTGATAAAGTGATAACATTTGGGGTTTTATTATTAGTGCTTTCATACGGTGGTTGGGTGATATGAACTTTTTAAGATCATTGCAACTGGTTTGATACGTGTAATATACATTACTAAGAAAAGGGGGATTTAGACTTTAAGTTTATAAACATAAAACTCCTCCATTGGCCTAAAATAGATTTTAATATTCTTATTTTGTCTAATCATTATACAAATATTGTCTCTTTTACAAGAGAGACCTGACCAAAATGGCCAAGTAACAAAGTTGTCACATAGTTACACATCGTTGATTTACAACAGTCATGTAATACAAAAAAGGGGCCTGAGAAACATGAGTGAAATAAAGGCCTACACTATAAATGACTATTATAGACCCAAAAACCACCTAATACTGAACAGCACCTGACACAATGTCCTGTGTGTCTTATTTGGGCTAATCGGATTAAACACAGTGTATATGTATACACACAATATGTGTATACATATACATATACATATATATACACACACACACACACACACACACACACACACACACACACACACACACACACATATATGTATATATATGTATATATACAGTATATATATATGTATACATATATACATATACTGGCAATACAATATGGCTTTCTTAACTGTTACTGTTCAGCATGGGAGTGGAAATATTCTAGCACTTTCAAGAGTAAAGAAAAAAGAGGAACGTGTGTTTTCAGCTCTTAAATAAAAAACCCTGTTTCTGCCGTGGTCGCTTCGGTGTGGGACCGGTGGGAAACGGTCGGACACCAATGTCTGTAACACCCGGTGTTTGAGTTGTGGGATGGAGTTTCGTTGACATAGACAGTAACGCTACGTGATTTTTTTAATCTAGTGTGTCTGTCGACTAACACGGCGATATCAGTCGGGAGAACTCACCCGAGCGACATGGCAGACAACATTGTAAGTATAACAGCAGGTTGTGCTCATGCTAACCTGTTAGCTAGCCTCTTAGCCGAAGTCCGGAGTGATGAGGCAGCAGAATTAGCTTGGTCGCTAACGTTAGCTGGCTATCATTAGCAAAGAGTGACTAGGGCCTGTTTAGCTAGCCGGCTAATCTTAGCTCTTTGGTTAGCTGGCGACATTCGAATAAAAAGAGGCATTGTTTGCAAACGGGGATGCCACATAACCGGCACAATTTCAGGAGTAAAAAATTCTTGACCATTGTGTAGCGTGTTTAGCTCATTAGCCAAACATTAGCTGGAATATTCTCGGTGGATGTAATGGAAGCCAAGGTGTTGTTGATTCACTAAAAGTGATATTTTTATTGCCCCCACAGTATGACAGATTCAGCTAACGATGTGTTGTTCAAAGCCAACGTCTTCGTGTGTTAATAGTAAAGCTGCTTGGTTTAAAGTGGAGGCTCATAAGCTAACGTTAACATTACTTTTTTGCACTGTCATCGTTGTCATAATGTCCTGACACTGACACCACTGTAAAGACAGAGAGAGGGGGGTTAGCTCCCTTGTTGTGGTTGACAGGTGTTGGGGAAGTCATTTTGAATCTGTATTAGGTCCATGTTATTCACGAACTTTCCAGACCACTAAAAGCATTTTTGATGTCTGATGTTTCATTTGGTCTTTTGTTTGTTTTTGTCTCATTAGATCATCAGGGTACAGTCCCCAGATGGGATGAAGAAAATTCCCTCCACCAAAAGGGAGACTGCTGCTGCTTTTTTGAAGAAGGTACTGTGTGTGTGAAACAGCCAGAACAGGTCATACATAATGTCAAATGCACACATGCATCAACTTCAGAATCAGCACACTCATGTCCAACAACAATGTTTGATTGATTGATAGATAGATAGATAGATAGATAGATAGATAGATAGATAGATAGATAGATAGATAGATAGAAATACATACAGCTGAAAACAAGGACAACAAGGCTGAACGATGATTAATAGATATACATATTTAGCTATTATGTACCAACAAGTAGGTTGAAAAATGGATCTGTATATATAGCAACAATGAAAAAGTAAAACAAAAATACAGTAGTGCAGAGTGCTGGAATAAATATTGAATGAGTTGTGTAGAGCTTGTGCAGCTTGCTTGATAATGATATGTACATGTTAAAGCACAGTGTGTATTTGGACTGGAAGATGTATAATTTATCATAGCACCATTATTCCACCACTCTCTTTTATTTTTTGACCTCATATGTAATCACAGTGTTAGAAGTCTAACTCTGAATTCTTGGGTCCATTTCTGTAGAACAGATACCGTCTTCATGCAGGAAACATGTACTCCACGGCTTTAATGTGTTGTATACCTGCACCCGAGCACAAGCACTATTTATACATTTTTGTCACAAAGTGCCCTTGTGTTTGCCTGCGTTTTTGCTTGTGTCGGGTCATTGTTCATTTATGCATGAAGCTGTGCAGGAAGTACCAGAGCAGGTCAGTCCTACACTGCTGACTTCCAGTATTGACATGTGGCAGGCCAGGGAAATTTGTGTTCAGGGAGTGTAGTGGACGCATTGCTTTGTACACTTGTCATCACAGCTGTTTGCTTCACTCTCACACAATATGAAACAGAATAATAAACACACAGAATAAATTAATATACAGTAAGTGTTGAATTTGGATATGTTTGTAAGAACAACATCTTAGTTTTCTTCCATCTGACCTCTATTCACACCCCAAAATAACCACAAATTAATTTGAGTCATTGGATTTGGAAAAACCTAAAATAGAAGCATATTCGAGCAGAACAGTCACAGCGGACCATTCCAGCAGCAGCTCATTAAATATGCATGTATCCGTGTTAAGGCAGGACGGTGTAGCCTGCAGATCAATGGACGGAGTAGTTTTCATTCCCTGCTGATGTGCTGCCAGTGATGGGTGGAGTGGAAAGCGGGTATGAGGCAGTGAGGGCAGAGACAGTCTGAGCCCTGCAGCTTATATTTCTGCAGCTGAGACAGAATAAAAAGGAGCATCAAGTGATATTCTGTCTCATACAGTTTCACCCAGCATACAGTGGTAACATCTTACACTGTGTTCCTTTAATGATTTTATGCTCAAAGAACCTCGGACTGTTCTCTGCTTAGTTTTACCAACCTTGAAGATGAATTAAAAAATTCAGTCTGGCGGTTTAGTTTTATTGGAATCGGTGCATTTCCTGTAATAAGTGCCAAAATGAGTTCACTTTTAATGCCAAGGTACCTGTGCTGTCTTGAGTCCGCTGTACCGATCAAAAGGTCACTAATGGATTCTGAATTCAGTAAACCTCGAGTGATGGAGCACAGGCCACCCATCAGCATCAGGCTGCAGGTTATGTGATGGGATGTTTAAGTGCCATGGCGTTCTCCTCCTGCTCAGACTGCTCTTAATAGCTGAGTTTGGCTCACTGTGCAACAACCATAAGAGGTGTTCTCACAAGCTGTGACTCTCTCGTTCCAAGAGGCTCTTTGTTAATCTGCTTTGATCTGGTGACTTCCGTCGTGAGTGGACACCATTAACATGCACATCTCTTTAACTGGCATGTGTTGATCTGAATTGTCTCCTGAATGGATTCAGAGGAAGAGCAAATGTTGCGCGATAACAAGCTCAGACTCATTTAAGACTCAACATCAAGACCATTTCATGGTGTACTGAGTTAGTGGAATTCTTATTTTAGGATATGTGCATACAGCTGTATGACACAATGTTGTTACTCATTCTAATCAGCAAACTACGCCCATGTCTCCGACAGGTGGCCAAAGAGTTTGGGTTCAATTCCAATGGGTTTTCTGTTTACCTGAACCGCAACAAGACCGGAGAGATCTTCTCCCAGAACAAAACCCTCAGCCTGCTCAAGATCAAGTAAGTAAAAGCAAATTGTCATCATTGCACTGTAGATTTTACTCCTCAAACAATCAGGGTGAGATTCAGAATTTTAAAAAGTCAGTTTTTCAGTTTGCAAGCCCCTGATAAAGTAAAACTGATTGTCTGTGTTTTTGTTTTTTTTATCTTTCTTGTTGCTGCTAAAATCTGCTTCAAAACAGAAATCTCTGTTACACATTTTGCTCATACCTCAGGTTGAGATATTGATCGTGGCTCCACACCTGTGATATTCAAATATGCCATTCCACCAAAAACCAATACAAAAAGTTAATGTTCTTACAAGGTAATTGAGTAAAAGTCACATGTATTTAAATGCAGCTGGTTATTCCACATTCATTCATGTATCAGAATTTAGTAACTCTTAGTAAATTGTTTTAATTTTTTGTCCATATTCTTTACATATTTATTCATCTTGTTTCTCTTTATTTTCTTTAGGCATGGCGACATGCTGTTTCTGTTCCCTTCAGGATCCTCCACTTCATCCGGTGAGGTGATGGACACGGCCACCCCACACACATCGTCATCGCTACCATCTGTCTCTTCATCTTCTTCATCGTCCTCCATGCTCCCTCGCTCCTTCTCGGCACCTCACGTCCAGGAGGATGAGATCGATCAGTATCTGGCCAAGCAGGAAGGCAAGATCTACAGGAACAAAGATCCACAGCTGTAAGAGAGAGACCCACGTGTTGTTTTTCGATGCCAGTGATTTGTATTTGAATACAGATCTCAGATCAATGACCGTCATCTTCTTGTTACAGATGTCGCCATGGTGCCCTTGGAAAATGTGTGCACTGTGTACCATTAGAGGTAAAAACATTCATATATGTTTTTAGTTTCTTGCTCTGAAAGATCTTCATGCTAACACCATTAATGTGACTGTTTTAGCCTCAACTTACTTCGGCTCTGGCTTCTTTCCTTTCCAGCCTTTTGATGAAGACTACCTGAATCACCTCGACCCACCAGTGAAGCACATGTCATTCCACGCATACCTTCGCAAGCTGACCGGTGGAGCTGATAAGTGAGAAGTTGCTGTTTTTTTTTTTTTTATTTCTCCAGTAGAAATTCACAGATTCCTTTTTTTCCAGGTTCTAACACAGTTTCACCTCCTGCAGAGGGAAGTTTGCAGCTCTAGAGAACATCAGCTGCAAAATCAAGTCGGGCTGTGAGGGCCACCCTCCCTGGCCAGAGGGGATCTGCACCAAGTGCCAGCCCAGTGCTATCACACTCAACAGACAGGTATGGAAATTGAACCCCCCAACCCTGTGATTTGTGGAGCCAGAGCTGCCACAAACTTGAAGAAACCTCAGCTCATGTCTAAAGATGCCCCAAGGCACAATGAATCCCAAACGCTGTTGCATGAATTCTGTTCTGTTCTGTTCTTCTCTCAGAAATACAGACACGTGGACAACATCATGTTTGAGAACCACACCATCGCTGACCGCTTCCTGGACTTCTGGAGGAAGACGGGCAGTCAGAGGATGGGATACTTGTACGGCAAGTACACTGAGCACAAAGACATCCCTCTGGGCATCAGAGCTGAGGTGGCTGCCATCTACGAACCCCCACAGGTGAGAGATTCTCACTGAACATCACTTCTCTCTCCTTGTTGCTCACTTGCTTGGCATTTTCAGTATAATCTGTCTCTGTTTTTGAGAATATTGTTCCTATTTTTTTTACACACTGATACTTGTAGTCCAATCTTTTTGAGGGTTGTGCGCTCATCACTCCTTGCTGTGTTACAGAATGCCACTCAGAACAGCCTGGAACTGTTGGAGGATCCCAAAGCTGCAGCTGTGGATGAAATTGCTGCCAAACTAGGCTTGTGCAAGGTTGGTTTTATTTCCTCCTGGCTGCTGTTTGACACTGTGTCTGTATTTAGCTTTAGACAAGGTGTTTTTTTTAAAATCCTGTTTCCACAGTGAGTGATGGCAGGTTGCTCTCCAGTCGTGTGACCAACTTTGAAGATGCAAGACAGATTTATGTTTGTCTGTGAAGGTGTTTTGCGGCCTCATTATTGAAGCCTTTGATTAGAAATTGATTTGTTGTTCAGCAAATAAATTTAACCAGATGTTTTTAAGCAAATCAAACTGTTTTCTATTGGTCTGTTAAACTTGACGATGTCTAATGGAAAGCTGGTTTACCTCAGTGGGGATGGACAAATCTAAACCTGGTTCATTCACCATTTACTGCCAGTAACATTTGACCATCTAGGTTTTTGCTTTTCACTTGTTGAGATTGATTCCTTCATTCTCTGAATTCCTGAAGCTTCAGAGAGTAATCATGAAAACACCTCCCATATTTCACCCATGCCGTAAATCTGCTGATACAAAGGAAAAAGATTGTGTCATGACATGCAGGTCATGTGTGTGTGTGTGAACAGCGTTTACTTTTTCTTCTCTTCTGTCCTCTGCACTGTTTGTGATGCAGTTTCCTTTGTCACATGGAGATGATTTCACTCTGATTTGATCTGATTTTATGAACTTATCTTCTCTGATGTTCAGGTGGGCTGGATCTTCACAGACCTGCTCTCCGAGGACACGAGGATAGGCACCGTCCGCTACACGAGAAACCAGGTGAGGATGCAGCTCACTCAAACATCTGATCTGATCATTAGAGTAATGTGCTGATCTCCTCCATGTTTTATCACTGTTACCACTTTTACTAGGACTCTCATTACCTGAGCGCAGAGGAGTGCATCACAGCAGGATACTTCCAGAATCAACATTCAAACCCCTGCAGACTCTCGAGAGACGGACACTTTGGCTCCAAATTTGTGACCGTGGTGGCAACAGGTGGGTTTTTGTTCACAGAGTAAATATTTTTCTTTCAAACTGTTCGAATTGATGTTATAATTTAAAACATCTGGTTCGTAAATACTTGTTAATGTTAGCTAAAATGATCAGGGGAGATGGAAAAGTGTCTTTCCTTTTCCATGTTTTTTTTATTTCACAGATGACATAGAGTAGTGTGTTTAAATTCAGTCATCACCTGTCAAAAACAAAAACAATATTTATGTACTTTGTTTACAATCTTTCTCTTTAAGCCTAGACATATGTAACTGTAAGACACATGGTATTAAGTATATTCGCCTCTTCCTGGCCACTTAGCTGCAGCCTAGGGAGCTCAGGCTTTTGAGGTGTTTGTCTTTGTTTTTTTTTCTATTCCTCTCAAGTATCTACAGAGTGTACATAGTAATTTTTTTAGGCCGGGGTAACGGTGTAATACAAGCCACATACTCTCTGAGACCACATTTTTGGCTCAGTGCCAAGTGTTTACACTTCGCTCTGTTATAAACTCACCAGATCTCTTGTATTTGTCCCACAAGTGCACAAAAGCATAAAGCGTGGTGGTGACCTCATCGCTTGATTTGCATTAATGAGGCGCTGGCAGCCAAAGCTGATGTCATGGGTCCACATCTCATGCCAGCCAGGCCAAAGTCCATCTGTTTCACTTTCCCTTGTGGGAAGACGTCGTCTGTTTACAAATGAGCTGCATGTGTGAAGCTGAAGAGGCTTCAGATACTGAGCGTTCCACACTGACGCTGACATAATGATTTAATAGTTTGATAATGTTGTAGTGGTGTGCACAACTTCTTCTTGATTTCCTTTTATGACACTGACTTTGCTTGTATTGCTTGTACTAACGGGGCCTGACTGCAGAAGTCATGTTAAAAGAAACCACAGAAAGTTAAAGCCTGTGGCTGATTAATCAGTTAATCAGTTATTTAGCTGATCGACACACTGATTAATGAACTTTTTGATAAGTAATAAATTATTGCAGTTGTTTTTGAAGGTCGAAACATGTTCTTCCTTCTCGAATGAGGATTTTCTGCTGCTCTCATATCATCACTTCTTGAATACTGCATATAATACCAATACCTTTAAGACATCACTTAAATTGATAGTGGCTTTTAGATATTATAGACAAATTAAGTGAAAACAACAATATTGGTGCATATTTCTTCATGAGAGACTGAGTCATCTGTTTCTATCGAAGTTTGTTGTCAAATCAAACAGGGTAGAAGATAACTCTACTCAGCAGCTGGTATTCAGTCACAAGTGAAGTAAATTAAAATTGAGATCATTCCTCATTCTACAAACGAATACATCTGTCCATCTCTACGCTCTGTGTGCAGGCGGTCCAGATAACCAGGTGCACTTTGAAGGATACCAGGTGTCCAACCAGTGCATGGCTCTGGTGCGAGACGAGTGCTTACTGCCCTGCAAAGACGCTCCTGAGCTGGGCTACGCTAAAGAGTCCAGCACCGAGCAGTATGTACCAGACGTCTTCTACAAGGTGAGATATCATACGCGTAGCAACGGTCTGTGCATAATATATACACAGTGACATCATTACACAAATGATTATGGCTGCTTGCCATCCGAGCAGATTAATGACATCCAAATACTTTGTGATTGGGGCCAGGCATTAGGAGTCAGTTCATCCAGAGGTTTGGGTCCAGATGTTGAAATTTTTGTTTGCCTCTGACCTTCGTATCGATTTCCTGTCCCCACCCCCCCAACAGGACAAAGACAAATTTGGAAATGATGTCACGTTTCTTGCGCGGCCTCTTCCTGTGGAGTACCTCATCATAGATGTGAGTGGGATATGATGTTTTACATGATCAGCACATGAATGCATTTGTGCAGCATTTGGTTTATTTACCTGTTTGATTTTTTTTTTTTTTTTTTCTCTTTAAAGATTACCAACACTTTTCCAAAGGATCCTCAGTACACCTTCTGCTCCACACAACGCTTCCCCATTGAGAACCGTGATATCCTTGGAGAGACTCAAGTGAGCGATTTCTAGACTTCTGTTGTTCTAAACCTGTTTACCTCTCCCAATGAAGAGAGGAAATTATGGCCCAAAAGATCTTATCAAATACACAATAGTCAGTGGAATATTGTCGGTAAAGGAACAATCTGATATTTGTCCTCTGATCCAGAGTCAGATGGGAAGAGCAGTGTACGTCTAGTAGAGGGAAGTACATGGCACGTTTAGCTAAGCCAAACACAAAGATTGGAAACAGGGGGGACAGTTGCTATCTTGAAGTCAGACGGGAAGCTCATAATTCCAGCAGCCTGTTTTTACATCTGCCTGTATGTCTACCTGACATGACCAGTCACAGCTCAGAGCCTGGGAAAATTAGGTTCACCTACCCTCTGACCTCTGACCTTCAGAGGTTAAACAAAGGTATACATCTTCTTATTTGTGTGTCTGCAGGACTTTCACAGTTTAGCAACATACCTGTCCCAGTGCACCACCACGGCATTCCTGGACATCGTATCAGACTTCCATCTGCTCCTCTTCCTCGTCACCAATGAAGTCATGCCTCTGAGAGTAAGTCCACACTTCAAAGCCTCCTCTCCTCTGCTTTTCCATTTGTTTTCCATTTGTAATGTTAGAATTCGGCCACATTCTTCCTCAGTCTGGAAGTGGTTACTGGTGTGAGGATGTTTTCACTCAGGCCCTTTGTTTATGCTCATTAGATTTTCAAACTGGCCTCTGGCCTGTTACAACGATCAAATATTTTGCGTATTTGATATAAACATTATTTTTGTGTATTTTGACAATAATGAGCTGCCTAATCAGAGTTGCATGTCTTCTATAAAATCCAGACGTGTTTTTGCTTTTCTCTCCAGTGTCCTGCATCCGTCACTGTCGAGTAGATAGATCAGAGTTTGTGTTTGTCGTTGCAGGACAGCATCGGGCTGCTACTCGATGCAGTGAAGTCTTCTAATGAGGATCTGGCGCAGACCTGGAAGAAGTCAGAGCAGTGGGCCACCATCGAGCAGCTGTGCAGTAAGTCACTGCAGATCACAGAGAAATTGATCATTTATTAATCATTTAAGTCAGTTATGAAGCCAGAGTGTTGAATATTCACTGTTTCAGTGTCTCAAATGCAGCAATTTGATGATTTTCTCTGTTAAATACCGTACTCAAATAGCTTGGGGTTTTGAACTTTTGGTCATGGTGCTCCGTAATAAATCTTATAAATTTGATTAATTAATTGATTAATTGGGTTTTGTTTTTACATAATGTGTAGAACAATTATATCCTGAAAATTGAGTTATTAAGAAAAAATGTACTTCTGTGGATTACAGCTCGCTACATTCAGTGTCTTAAAGGAATAGGACAGTTTGGGCTTATTCACTTTCTTGCAGAGAAGTATATTAGAAGGTTGATATGAATCTCATGCCATGGTTAATTTACTACAGCCAGCAGCAGTTTAGTTTAGCTTAGCACAAAGACTGGAAACAAAGGGAAACAGCTAGCCTGGCTCTATTCAAAGATAAAGCTTACTGACTAACGTCTTATATTGTGTTTGTTTAATCTGTAAAAACGACTGTTATTTTACGGGGGGGTATATGTCAAGCTACTCTTTGGTTGTAGATCTTAAATTATAGACTCTCTATAGAAGGTGTTAATTGAAAAATGAATCAATAGGTTAATACATAATAAGAATCTTCATTAGTTGCCCTCCTTATACCGTGTAATCCCTCTCCTGTCCTTCCAGGTACGGTGGGTGGGCAGCCCTCCAGCTCTCTGGGTTACGGGGCCATGGGTGGCCCCTCAGTCCCTGCCACCTCCTCAGCCATGTGGTCCTGCCTCCACTGCACCTTCATGAACCAGCCTGGCACAGAGCACTGTGAAATGTGCAGCCTGCCCCGCAGTTAAACCCCCAATCCACTCACCCTCCACCCTGCTTCCGTGCCCCGCGCCCTGATCTTACACAGTCCTGCCCAGCCCTCCTCTTAACTCGCCAATGACATCACTGCACCAGGACCGGCTGCGAGATTTGGATGCCCTGTCTAGTTTTCTTTCGCCTCACGTTGAAGCCTCTGTCCTTCCCATCTCACAGGCTGCTGTGACGTGCAGAGAGATGCACTTGTTTACATCCAATTCATTGAGTAAATAAAATAAAAGCAGACTGTTTTTTTTTTTTTTTTTTTTTCCTTGTATCCCTCCTCACAGCGGCTCTGGTGAGTGGCAGGGTACGTTTAAGTAAAGCACTTTTGGCTGAGGCTCTGTTCCCTCAACCTACCACCGCCCTGAAATAATCACCCGCCCCCCTCCATGGCTCAAATATATCCTGTTGTGACTCAGGACAACAGCAAAGACTTGAGTGTTTGGACATTCTCTCACATCAGTGCCCCTCTCACTCTCACCACGTCTTCTGGAAAATCTTGCTGTGTATAAATACATTTGAGGAATGATACTGTTATTTAATTAAGCGTCTTTTTTTGTTTTTCTTTTTTTTTATCTGATTGTAGCTATACCTTAAAATTTTGAATCTTCAGCGTGGACTCTGCTCAGTCAGGTTTTTATAGGTCTTGGTCTCTTTGACAAGCCCCTTAAAGTACAATCATTGGTCAATCCTGGACCTGAAAACACTTAAGAGCTCCAGAGTTATTCCGCCTAAGCAGAGAGTTTATTTTCAGTATTAAATAACTTTAAAAATGTTTGGAAATAAGCCCCAGATTTGAAAAGATGCAGATGCAAAAAGCTACTCACCCATAACACATCTTCCTCCACTGGCTGCAGACGTAACGTGTGCTGCTGCTGGTGATGAAGTGGTTCCTGAACATCTCTCACTGGTTTGTTGGAGTTGTAGCTTTTGGATTTGGTGGTTTGAACTTGAGCAGGCACAATATGTAGCTTCTTTTATCAGCTCCGTTCTGTCCCTGATAAAACGCCCTAGGCCTACATCCATCATCATTATCATCATCATCATCATCATTATTATTATTACTGACTCGCACTGTATTCGCCGTGAGGTGCTTCTAGAAACAACTGGTGCTCGCCACTTTGCTCTCGGTCACTCCCCACCTGTGGTTCTCCTCGTTTTGTTTTCTTGCTGGCGCTGATCCAAAGGAGCCAGACCATAACCAGTTTTCCTCCACTGATGGGGGGGGGGAGGGCCCACTGTGGGTTTTTCCCCATCCCTGAGCCTTCAAAGACTTTGCTGCTCTGAGTGCAAGAGGTCACAGGTCAACACGGGGAGAAAAAGATGCCTAACATATCGCTGAGTTCATCTGATGTCTGCGCCGTACATCGGCAGGCGGGATCACAATGGGCAGCGTTTAAAAAAAACAAAAAAACAAAACAAAACAAAAAAAACACCTTGTCTGTGATTGGTTCTGCCAATAATTACTCTGTGTAGTTTCAAGCTGCTTCCAGCAGAAGGGGAGACATGGATGATACTAGACTGAGGTTTTCTCCACTTTGCAGAGCTGCAGGTGTCAGAGGTGTAGAGGGAGCTGAACCTGAAATCAATGTGAAAAGCACTTCACTCTCCTAAAGGCGTAAAGGGTCAGTTCACCCTAATTATTCTCACATACCTCTAGCTGTGTTTAGCTATGCTGAAATTTCTGCTTCCAAACTAGAACAGTGGAGGTGAATGAAATTTTAGGCATAGGCAGAGACTTGTCTAGATAAAGAGGCAGAAATATCAGGGAATTAAACCTGTCAAAACCTCGACAAATAAAAGACGGATGCCACTAATGTAAGAAGGAAAATGTTTGTTTGTTTGTTTTTTTTTTTTTTAAATAATTTTGGTGAACTAACCCTTTTACATATACAGTCACTAGAAGGCATATCGGGATAGTTGGTTAAAACTGGTTCTTATCACTTTTTTCTTGAGACTAATATCGGGACCAATTCTTCAAAAGGGATCATTGAAGTCATGAAAGTTCTGTTCTGGTTGCACATCATTAAGTTTTCTAACCTGAACCCATTCAACAAAATCAGACCTCACTGATGTGGTCCACTCGCAGCAGAGAGCAGGGACCTTCTCAGAGCTGGGGAGGTGCCTGGATCAAGGGTTTGGGTTCGTTGTTGAAGTGTCCACACATAGAAGCTCAGCAACTTCTCAAAGAGTATATGAAAAGCCGGTTTTAAAGCTCATAGTGTTTGAGGTATGTGACCAAAATGAATTTGCATGACTTGAATGTCTCAACAGTTTTTCTGGTGCTCCTATAAAATTAGAGAATAAATACGACAGGTTTTTAAAAAGTTCTTTAATACAAAAGCTAATGATGCTAAAACAAAAAGCTAACAAACTGCACATTTCCCATAATTCCATCACGAGAACCCTCCTCGCTGATCTAGAATCTCTTTTAATCCACGTCCTGGATCTGTTTGATGCTGACTGAAACAAACTGACAGCTTTCCCTAAACTTTTTAATCACTACTCTCATGTTGACTTTGAGGTATTTAGTTTTTTTTTTTNCGATTTATCTGATGTCATGCTAAGGGATGGCAGTGACCTTTTCCTTTTGTATTGATTCAGGGGCCGTTTGCTGAGCAAGCATGCTCTTGGAGTTACTGCAGGTCCTCACTTTCCACTGAGCTGACTGAGGACCCTGAAAGTTGTATGCTGTTCACCTGGATTTGAAACAAAATAAAAAAAAAAAAAACAACAACAAAGAACTCCTGCAGATACTGTCTCTGATTTGTCGACCATCTGCTCAGGTTAAATCTATAGTGTATAAATAGTCTTCAGACTCAAAATT